CACGGGGACTTGCCCCATTTCACACACAAGCCCATAGTAGAGCAGGCCAGGCCTGGCCCACCGACAGGGAGGGGTAAAGGGGGCAGTTGCCCCAGGGCCTGGTGATTCAAAAGGGCCCAGGGCTCCCTGCTGTCACTGCTGATATGGCCCCGCACAGTGAGCTCCAGGGACACGCAGACTCCAGGAGGATAGATCCATCACACGGGGACTTGCCCCATTTCACACACAAGCCCATAGTAGAGCAGGCCAGGCCTGGCCCACCGACAGGGAGGGGTAAAGGGGGCAGTTGCCCCAGGGCCTGGTGATTCAAAAGGGCCCAGGGCTCCCTGCTGTCACTGCTGATATGGCCCCGCACAGTGAGCTCCAGGGACACGCAGACTCCAGGAGGATAGATCCATCAGTGGCTATTGGCCAAGATGGTCAGGGACACAAGCCCATGCTCAGGTATCTCTAATCTTACTCAAAATTGCCCTCTCCTGTTCATTCCCTCTGGAGCACCTGGCCATTGTCAGAAGCCAGGACACTGGACGAGCTGGACCTTCAGTTTGATCCAGTTTGGCCGTTCCTATGTTCTTATTCCACAACCTCTCTTGGAAGCCTATTCCAGTGCCTGACTATCTCTATAGTTAGAACGGTTTTCCTAATGTTTCCAAAATGTTGTTTCTCATATGCAGGAACAAATGAAATTGAACTCGGGGTAGACAAAGAAGGCTTCATTTACATGGCTTTTGAAACTCCTGATATGTGTGACTCTTCAGAGTTTACCTGGTCAAAGGATTATGAGGGGCCTCCAGATCCTGACAGAGTCAAAACTGAAGATAAAGGCAACAAGTAAGTGGGCAGAGCATGTTGGGAAAATGAGCTTTGGAAGGTGAGGCAGGGAGCTGTTTACACACTAACCTGGGGAAAAGTTCAGAACAAAATGTTTTCCGGGGAAGCCATGAAAAGCCAAAGCCAAGTTTTCTACCTCCCTACTCAGAGATGGTTGAAGAATCAGTATGAGAACGTAAGATCCTTCCTCGCACTTCAGATAAACATTTGCACTTTTACACACACATCTGAAAATGAACCCAAACTCCTGATTTGATTGGGGACTCCAGACAACACTGCTGATGTTGTGTAACCCACACATCTGCTGGGGTGGTGGACTGTCCCCTCTCCTGGCATTTAGGCCACTTACAGAGAAAGAGTTTGCTCTACAGCCTTAGCTGGGAGCCATCTGGCTTTTAGCTGAAGCTGTAGAGGCTCATGCACTAAGCTCCAGAGGTCCTAGATTCAGTTCTGCCTGTCTAGGGATGAATTTGGCCTATTGCTGCTATTTCCCAAGCAAATCTGGACCACAGTCCTGACTTCCAAATGCAGTGCCCATGGTGTGTGTGCAGCTCACTTGGGCCTTGAGCATCACAGAAAGGAGGAATCAGAGTTGTCCTTTTGCTGAGGCTGTCAGACATGTTAGCTGTGCTACCCCCACTGAGGCACTCAAATTGCTATAGGTTTGCTCCTCTACATGTACAGACTTTGTTGCATTCTCCTCTCAAACAGGATCTGTTTCAAATGGACCTAATTGTGTTTCTTTTTCTTTTTTCTAAGATCGAAGCTCATGCTGAAAAATGCATCTGAAAAGGATCTGGGGACATACTCTGTGGAGGTAACTGACGTAGATGATGAGATCTCTGCCAGCCACACTTTAACCCAGGAAGGTAAAAAAAATTGTCCAGTGCTGAATTTGCCAGTTCCAATCAGCTGGGCAACAGCTCCTCCCAGACTTTAGGAAATGAAGTGGTGCCATACAATGGCAAGAAAAGGAGACTTTGTGTCCTTTAACTGGCCGGTGTGACTGGAGTGTGAGAACTGTGTCCTAACATGAGTCAGGAGAGAGGAAATGTTCTTGTAGCCTCAGGGCTTGTCCACACTTAAAATGCGAGGGTGGCAGAGCCATTACTCGCACAGAGGGAGAGCCCCTCCTAGTAGTCTAGGTTATCCAGCTCCTTGGGAGGGGCAGGTAGATTGATAGAATTCTTCTGCCAACCTAGTGCTGTCCAGGTGGGGATTTAGGTTGTCTTACAGCGCAGCTCAGGGGTGCGGATTTTTTATATATATGGCCAATCTAGATAAACCAAGCTAATTGTTTAGTGTAGACTAGCCCTTGGCATTGCATGTTACCACAGCATCACAAGCTTCAGAGGGTAGCCGAGTTAGTCTGTTACAGAAAAAAAACAGGCGTTGAAGGTGCAAACAGCTCTTTATGTAGACTCCTAAGTTAGGAAGGATACTATCAATTGACTTTGATTCTTATCTGATTCGTTTTAACTACCCAACCCTCAGATACTTACTGATTCCTTCTAGCTCCCTGTCTCTCACCCCCCTTCTTTTTTTTCCCCTCCCGCCTCCCCTTCCCGTCTCCTATTTATTTTGGGTCTGCACATCCTAAACTCATAACTCTGGTCATCTGAAGAAGTGGGCTGTGCCCATGAAAGCTCATGATACCATCGACATGTTTTGTTAGTCTATAAAGTGCTCACAGCATCACAGCAATTTTTCAAAGCTGTTCCTCTAGCTGATGCCACTAGCATTGGATATTGATATTTACGCATAGTTAGGCTTTATTTTCCCAGCTCCTTCTAATCCCTTCAGCTCTATCTTGTTTTGTACAATTATAGACTAGCTTGACCTAGTTCACAAGATAAATTGTTAATGAGTGTTGGATTCGGTCTGGCTTTACTGATCTAAGTCCTGTGCTGTTCCTTGCATTTTCAGAACTGGACAATTTGCGGAAAATTAGTCATGAAATCAGAAACCCATGTAAGTTGGACTAGTAGTAGCTGGCATGTGGGACCCTCATACATAGGCTTTCCTGGGGACTGTGGGGAGACTCTTGTGTGACAGTGACCCTTGGAGCTATGCCAGCAGGAGTTTGATTTCTTGATAGGGCCACCCAGGCCAACAGGGAGGGCTCATATGAAGAACCATCCACTGGCCTCCAAGCCAAAGGCTGAATGATGGGCCAACAACCTAGCCTTATACAAAAGCTAAGTTATGAAAACACGCCACGGTAGACATTTCAGCAAAAAGCATGATAGACAGGGATGGAGGAGCCTTGTTTGTGTCCTAAGTGACATCTGACAGCATGGGAAGGGAAGGATTCAAATATGATGAACAGAAAGGATGAAATCCTGATCTCCTTGGCATCAGTATCTAAATTCCCATTGACACCATCTGGACCAGGATTTTATCCTAAATCCTCAACCTTGACCCGCCACATCCCCTCTCCTGCCAGTGATCGAGCTGATCTCCGGGTGGAACGTTGATGTCCTCGACAAAGGAGAAGTGCGTCTGTGGCTGGAGGTGGAACAACTGTCGCCAGAGGCAGAGCTGCATTTAATCTTCAATGGGAAGGAGCTTTCGAGCACTCCGGTATGTGTGGTGCTTCTAAACTCCCAGCATGCACGGGACCTGCCTTCACAGCGGCTGGACTGGCTCTGCGACACCAGGGCTCAGATGAGATCACCGAGTCAGGAGACTGTTGTTTCTCATCACCTATTTTTACGCTGCTTCTTTGCAAAGTCTCTAGGCTTGATTCCCCACCATGCCCCAGCAGAGCTCTGGCATGACAGGAGCCGGGCACTGCTCCCGCATTCTCAGCTGTCACGTCCCAGCATTAGTTAAAGCTGCTGATGTGACATCCCTCGAGCAGAGAACTGAGCATGGCAGAACCTGCTCCCTTCCCCTCCCCCTGGGGGCTGCGATGCAGAACATGACACTGTTGGGCAGCATAGCCGCTGCTGCCAGCTGTGCACCCGCAGACTTTCTCCTTGAACAGGGCCTCCTCCAAGGGCAACCCCAACCACTTTAAGTTCACTTTACAGCACTGGTTCTGGCCTGCAGACCACCCTGATCAATGCAGGAAGGGCTTACCTGGCTCTACCTTCTCCCAGGCACCGCCCCCCAGCTGTTCCCATTGGCCATGATTCTGGCCAATGGGAGCAGTGGGGAAAGCCTCCAAGCAGCACACCCCTGCACTGCCATTCCCCCCGCCGGGCCAGCAAAGTCAAACTTGCAGGATGGGGTGGGCGGTACAGGGTGGAGCACCAGCGCAGGCTCCCTGTTGCAAGGAAGGGGGTGAGCCTGTGGCTCACCTGCAAGAGGGTTGTGAACCCCACTTTGAGAACTACTATTTTACTGTGCTTTGCTGAACTTGCTGACCAAAGAATCCGGGCCCCTGTAAGTAATTCAGCCCGCGCATGAGCATGTGCTAAGAAATATTATCTTTGCTGGTTAGCTGGTGGGAGGGGGAGTTAATGCTGACCCTTCTGTCCTACTCTGCAAGCCTGACTGGTGTCGACACCCACCTTTGTACTGGCTAGGTATAAATCTTCTAGCTTTTCAGAGCAGATGCATGCAACCTGTTTCTATATTAGAGAGATTAAAAATAACTGCACCAGGTGTCACAAAGTGCTCCTGAATTGTTGTTTAAATTAACCCCTTTTGGTCCTCCCGTCCCAGAAGTAATGCTATAGTAAAACGTATTTACCCTGAGGGACTAGATGGTTCAGAATGAAGAAAAGGATAGTGGAGCTATTCACCTGTGGCTCAAATCTAGTCTAACACTGTCACAATAACAAGGTCCTGGATGTTTTGTGATGGGCAAACCCTAAAGCCTTTCCTAGCCTTTGTTGCCATGTGTTCTTCAGAGACAGAAAGCATCTAATAAAATTCTGCGAGGCTTTCCCTATATGGCCACTATCTTTTCTCGGCTGTATGGTGTATGCAGTAAGGCATGATTAAACAGTGCATGTCAGGCTCTTTGCAACTGTAACATTGGCTTGCAGCAAACAGGTTGGCCACAACTAATGAAGACAGCTAACCACTTAAAATGGCTGATGAATGAAGGGTGTGTTTATAAATGTTCCTGGTATATTAGTGAGTGCCCTGGGCCATGGGTGGATGCGTTACCTTCACTACTACTCTGAGTTGTGATTATTTGCAGTACAGGGCTGCTGCTTTCAAGAGCACTATTTCATTACAGAAAAATCCATGTGATCACACAGTACCCTGGCAAATCAGTTTAATAAGCAACAAGGAAGAATCTATTGTATCATGTGTTACAGTGGAAACCTCTTAGGCTGTTTCTCTGCAGAAGCACCCGGCCGCAAGCAGGTTCCCCTGTACAGATGTGCAAATCCACTACATGGACTTTTTAATAAAGAACAAAATTCATTTGAGAGTCAAATTCCTGGACCATGATTGCACTGGAGTAAGGAATGGACATGGGGAGGGAAAGGATTTGTTGACCCCATTGTAGGCCTAGGTGTGTCTGCACTACAGAAAATGGCACATTCTTAATTTGGATTAAAATAGCAATGAAGACATAGAAACTCCACTTCTAACTTAGGTTAGCAACTCAAGGTCTTTCAGTTGAGCTGCAGACCTGAGCTAGGAACCAAGAGGCCATGTCTTCACTGCTATTTTTACCCAAGTGAGCTAATCTACAAATACACCTTTTATGGGCAGTGAAGACATATCACAGGTAGCAAGGAGAAATATACCAGGGCAAAACTAGGATCTGTAGTTCCAGCCAGGCTCTACGTTGCAGAAGGCAGGGGGCCAGGATTTGGTGCTGGAATAATTTCCCTATGAAAAATGGACCTATTTACCACCAGTACTTTGTTTTACATAGACACATAAGATCAACTTTGATAGAGCAAAGGGCCTCATAGAACTCATAATCCTGGACTTCTGTGATGATGACAAGGGGACGTACACAGCCCAGGTGCAAGATGGAAAAGCTAAAAACCAGTTCACTCTGTCTCTCATTGATGACAGTAAGTAGAGATGACAGTAAGTAGAGACAGTAAATAGGCTTCATCTGAGGCCTGCTGAAAGCAGTGGAAGTTTTTCTTGTAACTTCAGTCAGTTTGGGATCAAAACCCCTGTAGAGAGAGTGAAATGAGGAAACTGCAGTAAGTAGTGAATGGCCATTTGGCTGTAAAGTGAAGAAATAGACCCACTAGATAGAGTACAGAAACCATTTTGGCTCTTTATGAACAAAAAGTTGCAGCTTCCCAGTCTAAATTCTCCCCTTAATTTGACACTTCTCATTTTTAAACTGTTTAGCAGTTGTTTTTAATAGAATTGAGTTGCTTGAAGCCTGAATTTGTATTTCTACTACTTCTCCCTTGAAAAGTGGCAAGTTCAAGAACTCAATCCTGTATTCTTGGCATAACCAAAAAACCTCCCATTTAAATCAATAGGAGTTTCCAGTGCCTAAAGATCAGCCCTTAGAGCAAATTCGCTCCATTTTCTTCAAAATAAATGTTACACTCTGAGCTGCTGGCAGCATGAAAGGCTAATAGAGCTGACCTTGTGAAGGGTTCTATACCAAAGGACAGAGTTTAACTGGGGCAGGAAGAGATATCATATACTGTCTGAGTTTTAAAGTAACATGTTTCCTGGTTAGGGATCTATGCTATCTTACACCGAGAGGGGTTATAATAGTGGTTTCAGTGCCCTTTTATTGACCTGATCTGTCAATGTTTGTTCTTTCAGTCTTTAATAAGGTTGAGGCGGAGGCTGCTGCTAAGCGGAGAGAATGGAGGCGAATGCAGGGTAAGATAGCCTCAAGGACACTGACTGGGACGGGACTAGTGAAAACTTGGTGAAAGGGGAAACAAGGATTTTCTACTGCGTGTCCCAACAACAAGGGAAGAGTAAATTGCTCTGCTTAGTATCCTCTTATTTAAATTGCTTGCTGGACTAAGATAAAGCTTTTTATTTTAGGTTACTGGTTTCTGTCTGTTAAACAAAGTTTGATTAGTTTGGATAGTTGAAGGCACTCACTGGCTCTGGTATAGGGCCCCTGAACCAACATGCCTGAGTTTCAGCAAATGTCCAATCCAGAGAGGGCTCAGATCCAATGTTCCTCTAATCTTTTCCAATCATGTGGGGAATAAATTGTGCACCGAATTAGGGATGTAATAGTGTAGCTGATTAACTGATAAGCAAAAGCTTATAGGTTAATGCTATAGCTTACACACATTCTCCCCCCACCCGGCAGTATATTTTTTAGCAGGCTGGCCAGCAGCCCAACTCAGTCCCGGCTTGCACTGGGTCCGGGACCTATCCCTGCTGCGGCTCTTCATTTAAAGTGTATTAGGAGCCAGGTGAGCAGGCAGCTCGGTTCCATTAGAGCTTGCACCAGGTCCAGGAGCATATCCCCCTTCCTGGACAGGGGCTGCTGCCATCCCGTGCTGCTGCTTCTGCATCAGAGGCAGCAGCATGGGACAGCAGGCAGCCAGTCCATGAGGGGAGCTGGTTTTTAAACCAGCTCCCCTCGTGGACCAGCTCCCGCCTAGCACTCCACAGAGGCAGCGGCGAGGAATGACGGGGCTCTTTGGGAGGGAGGCTGGAGCGCACTGGCTACCAGCCCCACCCCCGGGGACTATAGAATAGTCGAGTAATCAATAAGAGTTCATGAGGTTAATCGACTCTTCAGTTAACCGATATTTAACATCCCTAGTACAAATGTGCATCTCCAGTAGAAACAAAAAACCGAGCTGTGGGTGCCTTGCTGATCAGCTGGCTGGCATTAGAATCTCTCCTAAGCAGCAGCCCCAGTGCTCAGCTCCCAGGGAACACGGCTCAGGTCCCTCTCCATCCCCTGCTGGCAAACGGAATCTGGAAACGTTCACTGTCAGCAGTAGCAACAGTCCCCAGTCTCCCGCCCCTACCTCGAGGCTAATGTATTACACACCATTACAAAAAAGCTATTTTCCGTGATTGGTAGATTCCAAGGCCAGAGAGACCTCTGTGGTCATCTAGTCTGATCTCCTGCATAGCACAAGCCAGAGAACTTCCCCAAAATGACCCCTGGAGCAACTCTTTTCAAAAAACATCCAATCTTATGGGAGAATCCACCACAGCCCTGAATAAATTGTTCCAATGGATAATTATCCTCCTGTTAACAGTTTCTACCCTATTTCCAGTCTGAATTTGTCTAGCGTCAACTTCCAGATATTGAACTGCGTGAAACCTTTCTCTGCTAGAACCAAGAGCCCCTTATCAAATACCTCTTTCCAAAATAGATACTTATAGTTTGTAGTCAAGTCCCCCCTTATCTTTCTCTTTGCTAAGATAAATAGATCAAGTGTCTAACAGTTCACCATTGTAAGGCAGGTTTTCCAATCCTGTACTCGTCATGGCTCTGCTCTGAACCCATCTGTCTATTTTCCTTTTCATTGGGCTCCCAGGTAGTTCATATCAGGAAAGCAGACTGGAAAAGATATGAATTGGCTTTTCCAGTGCCCTTCCCTGTGCAAAATATCTATAATTTCACAGAATCAAAGGAGTAATTGGCATTTTAAGAAAAAACCTGTTAGTCACTATAAGAACTGGAGCCCTCTGGAACTTTTTTAAATTATACATCTAACATTATGAGACCTAATGCAAATAAAATAAATATTTCCTAGAACTGGAACATGGAAGAATTAATACAAAGAGGGCAGTGCTGTGATTGACCAGTAGATGGAGCCATTGCATGGTCTAATATTAAAAGCAGACCAGCAGGAAGAAATAGCAAGACTTGGTTGGTTTTGTTTTGCTTGTAGGTCCTCATTTTATAGAGAATTTGCAGTGGAAAGTTACTGAGGAGTGTGAAGTTCTGCTGACTTGCAAGGTATATTTTACTATCCAATTGCTACTGTGCATAGTAGCATCCATCTTCTATTGTTAATATTAAGGTGACCAGACAAGCCCCCCTTTTGAGGGGTTTGCCCTCCCCAATAATTATGTCCTCTTTTTGTCCTCCTTTGAAAAAAATTGTCCATCTTGTCCTACTTTTCCAAAAAAAAATCCCACGTTCCTTTTTTTTTCTTCTTCTTTTTGCTCCACCAAAAAATACCAGCTGTCCGGTATTTCTTGGGACATCATCTGGCAACCCTAATATATAAGTAAGGTTTTTCTTTTGTCAACTCAGTGTCTTCCTCGCACATTTTCAAATTCTGATCACCTTATTAATGTAGATGTGCATTTTAAGGATACTGATATTTGCCAGCTTATAGAAAGCAAAGACTTGGCAGTAAAACCTAACAGGCCTGGAAAACATGGGGAAAAATTTCATGTAATACTGAGAGAATCCCCTGGGACAGCTGAAGTCTCAGAACTCAAAAGATATCCTTGCCTTCAGAAAGAACAATATTCTAATTGCTAAATCTTTACTTTGAACAGGCAACAAACATGAAAAAGGATACCAACTTTAAATGGTTTTTGGATAAAAAAGAACATTTGGACGGTCTGTCTGATCCGCAGACTGGGGCTGGAACTCTTCGGATTAAAAAGGTAAAAAATATAATGCAACTTGGAGGCATTCCGGATCTGACTTTGATATCCAATAAATGCGGGTTGATATTAAGATATTTTTTTTGTTAACATTTACTGTTTGTTTCTAGCAGCACCCACAGTGTGCTAGGTACTCTTCAACTATGGATGAAAGCATGAAACAAAAAACAAGGGCTAGAAGAAAAAAACAGAGACATTCAAATTAAAAATAAGACACATATTTGTAACAGTGAGAGTGATTAACCATTGGAACCAAGAGAAGTGTTGGATTCTCTGTCTCTCAGATCAGGCCTGGATGCCTCACTGTAAGAGGCTTTGGCCAAACACAGGCAGAGCCATCGATGGGGGGTGGACGTGGAAGGGGAAGATGCTCCAGGGCCTAGTGATTTAAAAAGAGCCACGGCTCTACCCCAGCAGCAGTGGCAGCTGGAACCCTGGGCTCTTTAAATTACCACCAGAGCACACTCCAGGTGGCTGTGAGGGCTGGATGCTCCAGCTCTGCGCCTTCTGCTCAAGGCCACACCCCTTCTGGAAGTGCCAGAGCCAGGTTCCCTCCCATTTTGCCCAGGGGTCCCCAGGAGGCTGTCAGCCCCACTGAACATGGATTATTGGACTCAGGGCTTTAAAAATGGCAGCGCCCGGTAAGATGCAAATGAAGCCTGGGATATTTAAATCCCGGGCTTCATTTGCAACTCCGGTTGCCTACATTAACCACCCTAGTTCGAACTAGGCTGGTAGTGTAGACATACCCTGAGAGAGGACATAACAGCTTTCAAATACCTAAAAGGGTGTTACAAGGAGGAGGGAGAAAAATTGTTCTCCTTGATCTCTGAAGATAGGACAAGAAGCAATGGGCTTAAATTCCAGCAAGGGAGGTTTAGGTTGGACATTAGGAAAAACTTCCTAACTGCCAGGGTGGGTAAATACTGGAATAAATTGCCTAGGGAGGTTGTGGAATCTCCATCTCTGGAGATATTTAAGAGCAGGTTAGATAAACACCTGTCAGGCAGGGTCTAGATCAGTGGTGCACAACCTTTTTTCAACTGCAACCCCCATATACTCGTGTTGCGACCCCCAAAATAATTTGAGTGGCACGGCACTGGTCTAGATGGTACTTGGTCCTGCCGTGAGTGCAGGGGACTGGACTCGCTGACCTCTGGAGGTTCCTTCCAATTCCATGATTCTATGATAAATCCTGCTTCGTGTTAGTTTTTCAACTTAATTTCAATCAAACCGTTCACATTAAAAATAGTCTATAAATCAGCGTGCATGGCTCTCTCTACTCAGGTGGGGCTCAAGACCATCAATACACATCAATCCTGCAGCTTGGAATTGGGGCATAGCACCATGTAGGGGAAGCTTGCAAAGGGCACTTTCATTCTAGCTCACTCTAGCTCAGGGGTGGGCAATAATTTTTGATGGGGGCCACTCCAAGATTGGTAAGTGGTCAAGGAGTGCACTTTTCTATGGAGGGGCTTCAGGGTCTGGGAAGGAGGTTGGGTGCAGAAAGGAGCCTGGGGAAGGGGACTGGGTACAAGAGAGCATGTAGGGTCTGAGAGGGAGTTTGGGTGATCTGGAGCAGGTGTTTGAGGTGCAGGGTCCGGGAGGGATTATAGATGCAGGAGAGGATTCTGGTCTGGGGGAGGAGTGTAGCAGGGAGTGCAGGGTCTTGGAGGGAGTTGTGACCTGGGGTGGTGGTACGCAGATTTGGGTGGGGTCCTAGGGCAGGGAGTTGAGGGGGAAGCGAGGGGCTGTGGTGCCAGAGGTAGCATGTGACCAGGAGGTGCTTACCTAGGCGGTTCCCGAGCAGCAGCCCTGCAGGACCCTGAGGCAGGCTCCCTGGCTGCCATAGCCCCAGGCTGCTCAAAATGCTGGCTGCTCCCTGTGGCTCTCTGCTCTGCGCACTACGGGGGGAGGCCTTGTATGCTGACCTATGCCCAGCAAAATCTTTGAGCTCCCATTGGCCAGTTTCCAAGCTGAGAGATTTTGCTGGTGAGAGGTGGGACAGCACACGAAGCCTCCCCTCCCTGGCACCTGGAGCAGAAGGTCACAGGAAACAGCCAGCCACTTGAAGCAAGGTGGGCTCTGAAGTGACTGGCTGCTCTATGCCTGAGGGCCCCAGTGGGGGTCACCTGCAGGATGGATCCAGTGGCTTGGTGAGCCGGATGTGGCCCGCGGGCCGCATTTTGCCACTGCTGTAGCCAGTACTATTGTCAATTCACCAAATTCACCCCAAGGCCAGGAGAAGAGTGGAAATTCACCAGTACATTACACCCCCAAAACCACCCCATACTTTAGTGATCTGGGAGATTTCTATTTTAAAATATTTTGCCAGCTTACCAAGGAAGATAAAGGAATATACAAAGCAGTTGTTTCTGACGACCGAGGAGAAGACACTACTGAACTTGATCTCACTAAAGAAGGTAGGATGATTTCATGCTATGAGACAATATGTTACAATCTTATTATATATATGACCAGGCTTCATGGGGCTTTAAAATGACACTTTCTACCTATTTTAGTGTTTTCTATGGTACTCATTACAGGCAGTCCCCGAGTTACGCGGATCTGACTTACGTCGGATCCGCAGTTACGAACGGGGCACTTCCTCTCCCTGGTCTTGAGCAGACCAGGGAGAGGAAGCAAAGCGGCGGCGGAACGCGCGGCCAGCTGACAGCCCAGACGCGTCTGGGCTGTCCCGCTGCCCCCGTGCTCCGCGGCTTTGCTCCGGCCGCCTGTGGTACAGCAGCTGGGGCGCTGCCGGTTGGTCCCGTAGCACCGCTCTGGGTGCCACTGGACCAACCCAGCAGCACCCCAGCTGCTCTGCCCCAGGTGTCCCCTAGTCAGCAGCTGCTGAAAATAACAAGTGGCTG